AGACATATCAAAAGACTACTTGGTTTCAAAAGGAAAGAAAGGAAAGATAGAAGAGTTTAATACTACAATGTGTCAATAGCTCATAAATAATAGACTATACTGTTTTGATTTGTGGAAAGACATAGGAGGCCACTACTTGGTTTCACTAGGAAAGAAAGGAAAGATAGAAGAGTTTAATACTGGAAAACAATGTGTCAAAGAAAAATAAATAATAGACTAGACTACTTGGAAAGAAAAAGATTGACTATTTTTTGATTGTGTGGAAAGACATATCAAGGCCACTACTTGGAAGAAAGAAAAAAGAAAGGAAAGATAGAAGAGTTTAAAAACAATGTGTCAAAGAAATAAATAATAGACTATACTGAAAAAGAATTGTGTGGAAAGACATATCAAAGAACTATTTGGTTTTCACTTGGTGTCAATAGCTCATAAATAATAGACTATACTGTTTTGAGGAAAGAAAGGAAAGAAAGAAAAGAGTTTAAAAGAAAGCAATGTGTCAATAGCTCATAAATAATAGACTATACTGTTTTGATTGTGTGGAAAGACATAAAGAAAGAAAAGAAGGAAAGAAAGAAAAGGAAAGAAAAAAGAAAGAATGATTGTTAATAACAATGTGAAAGAAGAAAGAACAATGTGTCAATAAAAAATAGACTATACTGTTTTGATTGTGTGGAAAGACATATCAAAACTTGGTTTCAAAGGAAAGAAAGGAAAGATAGAAGAGTTTAATACTACAATGTGTCAATAGAAATAAATAATAGACTATACTGTTTTGATTGTGTGAAAAGACATATCAAAGCCACTACTTGGTTTCACTAGGAAAGAAAAGGAAAGATAGAAAGTTTAATAACAATGTGAAAAAAATAATAGACTATACTGTTTTGATTGTGTGGAAAGACATATCAAAACTACTGGACTAGGAAAGAAAGGAAAGAGAAGAAGAGTTTAAACTACAATGTGTCAATAGCTCATAAATAATAGACTATACTGTTTTGATTGTGTGGAAAGACATATCAAGAAAAACTTGGTTTACTTGGAAAGGAGAGAAGAAAGAAATGTGAAAGAAAAGATAGAAAAGTTTAGAAAGAAAGGAAAATAGAAATGTGTCAATAGCTCATAAATAATAGACTATACTGTTTTGATTGTGTGGAAAGACATATCAAGAAAACTACTTGGTTTCACTAGGAAAGAAAGGAAAGATAGAAGAGTTTAAAACTACAAATGTGTCAATAGCTCATAAATAAAAGACTATACTGTTTTGATTGTGTGGAAAGACATATCAAAGGACTACTTGGTTTCACTAGGAAAGAAAAAGGAAAGATAGAAGAGTTTAATACTACAATGTGTCAATAGCTCATAAATAATAGAACTATAACTGTTTTGATTGTGTGGAAAGACATATCAAAGCCACTACTTGGTTTCACTAGGAAAGAAAGGAAAGATAGAAGGAAAGTTTAATACTACAATGTGTCAATAGCTCATAAATAATAGACTATACTGTTTTGATTGTGTGGAAAGACATATCAAAGGCCACTACTTGGTTTCACTAGGAAAGAAAGGAAAGATAGAAGAGTTTAATACTACAATGTGTCAATAGCTCATAAATAATAGACTATACTGTTTTGATTGTGTGGAAAGACATATCAAAGCCACTACTTGGTTTCACTAGGAAAGAAAGGAAAGATAGAAGAGTTTAATACTACAATGTGTCAATAGCTCATAAATAATAGACTATACTGTTTTGATTGTGTGGAAAGACATATCAAGGCCACTACTTGGTTTCACTAGGAAAGAAAGGAGAGATAGAAGAGTTTAATACTACAATGTGTCAATAGCTCATAAATAATAGACTATACTGTTTTGATTGTGTGGAAAAAGACATATCAAAAGGCCACTACTTGGTTTCACTAGGAAAGGAAAGAAAAGAAAGAAAGAAGAGTTTAATACTACAATGTGTCAATAGCTCATAAATAATAGACTATACTGTTTTGATTGTGTGGAAAGACATAAAGGCCACTACTTGGTTTCACTAGGAAAGAAAGAAAGATAGAAGAGTTTAATACTACAATGTGTCAATAGCTCATAAATAATAGACTAAACTGTTTTGATTTGTGGAAAGACATATCAAAGCCACTACTTGGTTTCACTAGGAAAGAAAGGAAAGATAGAAGAGTTTAATACTACAATGTGTCAATAGCTCATAAATAATAGACTATACTGTTTTGATTGTGTGGAAAGACATATCAAAGCCACTACTTGGTTTCACTAGGAAAGAAAGGAAAGATAGAAGAGTTTAATACTACAATGTGTCAATAGCTCATAAATAATAGACTATACTGTTTTGATTGTGTGGAAAGACATATCAAGGCCACTACTTGGTTTCACTAGGAAAGAAAAGAAAAGAAGAGTTTAATACTACAATGTGTCAATAGCTCATAAATAATAGACTATACAATGTGTGGAAAGACAATCAAGGAAACTACTTGGTTTCACTAGGAAAGAAAGAAAGATAAATAGTTTAATACTACAATGTGTCAATAGCTCATAAATAATAGACTATACTGTTTTGATTTGTGGAAAGACATATCAAAGCCACTACTACTTGGTTTCACTAGAAAAAGAAAGGAAAGAAAGAAGAGTTTAAACTACAATGTGTCAATAGCTCATAAATAATAGACTATACTGTTTTGATTGTGTGGAAAGACATATCAAAGCCACTACTTGGTTTCACTAGGAAAGAAAGGAAAGATAGAAGAGTTTAATACTACAATGTGTCAATAGCTCATAAATAATAGACTATACTGTTTTGATTGTGTGAAAAGACATATCAAGGCCAAGGAAAGTTTCACTAGGAAAGAAAGGAAAGATAGAAGAGTTTAATACTACAATGTGTCAATAGCTCATAAATAGACTATAAAAAAGAAAGGAAAGACATATCAAACTACTTGGTTTCAAGGAAAGAAAGGAAGATAGAAAGTTTATAACAATGTGTCAAATAGAAAATAGATAAATAAAGACTATACTGTTTTGAGAAAGGAAAGACATAAAAAAAAGAAAGAAAAGGAAAAAAGAAAGAAAGAAAGAAAGAAAAGAAAGAAAATAAAGGAAATGTGTCAATAGCTCATAAATAATAGACTATACTGTTTTTGATTGTGTGGAAAGAAATATCAAAAAACTTGGTTTCATAGAAAAGAAAAAGAAAGGAAAAGAAAGAAAGAAGTTTAATACTACAATGTGTCAATAGCTCATAAATAATAGACTATACTGTTTTGATTTGTGGAAAGACATATCAAAGAAACAAAGTTTCACTAGGAAAGAAAGGAAAGATAGAAAGTTTAATAAAACAATGTGTCAATAGCTCATAAATAATAGACTATACTGTTTTGATTGTGTGGAAAGACATATCAAGGCCACTACTTGGTTTCATGAAGGAAAGAAAAAGGAAAGATAGAAGAGTTTAATACTACAATGTGTCAATAGCTCATAAATAAAAGACTATACTGTTTTGATTGTGTGGAAAGACATATCAAGAAAGAAACTTGGAAAGAAAGGAAAGAAAGGAAAGATAGAAGAGTTTAATACGAACAATGTGTCAAAAGCTCATAAATAATAGACTATACTGTTTTGATTGTGTGGAAAGACATATCAAGGAAAGAAACTTAAAAAGAACTAGGAAAGAAAGGAAAGATAGAAAAGTTTAATAAACAATGTGTCAATAGCTCATAAATAATAGACTATACTGTTTTGATTGTGTGGAAAGAAGGAAAAGAAAGCCACTACTTGGTTTCACTAGGAAAGAAAAGGAAAGATAGAAGAGTTTAATACTACAATGTGTCAATAAAGAAAATAAATAATAGACTATACTGTTTTGATTGTGTGGAAAGACATATCAAAGAGAAAAAACAAACTAGGAAAGAAAAGAAAGAAAAAGTTTAATAAAATGTGTCAAAAGATAAAAATAGACTATACTGTTTTGATTGTGTGGAAAGACATATAAATAAAGACTAGGAAAGAAAGGAAAGAAGAAGGTTTAAAACAATGTGTCAAAGAATAAAGAAAGACTATACTGTTTTGATTGTGTGGAAAGACATATCAAGGCCACTACTTGGTTTCACTAGGAAAGAAAGGAAAGATAGAAGAGTTTAATACTACAATGTGAAAATAGCTCATAAATAAAATAAAGAAAGACTATACTGTTTTGATTGTGTGGAAAGACATATCAGAAAGAAAAGACTTGGTTTCACTAGGAAAGAAAGGAAAGATAGAAGAGTTTAATACTACAATGTGTCAATAGCTCATAAATAATAGACTATACTGTTTTGATTGTGTGGAAAGACAATCAAGAAAAAGGTTTCACTAGAAAGAAAGAAAGGAAAGATAAAGAGGAGAACTAAATGTGTGTCAATAAATAAATAAGACTAAACTGTTTTGATTGTGTGTGGAAAGAAATCAAAGGCCACTACTTGGAAAGGAAAGAAAGGAAAGAAAGAAGAGAAAATAGGACAATGTGTCAATAGCTCATAAATAATAGAAGAAATACTGTTTTGATTGTGTGAAAAGACATATCAAGGCCACTAGAAAGAAAGAAAAGGAAAGAAAGGAAAGAGAAGAAGAAAAAAATAAACAATGTGTCAATAGCTCATAAGGAAATAGACTATACTGTTTTGAATTGAAAGGAAAGAGAAGGAATCAAAGAAACTACTTGGTTTCAAGAGGAAAGAAAGGAAAGATAGAAGAGTTTAATACTACAATGAAAGTTTAAATAGAAATAAATAATAGACTAGACTGTTTTGATTGTGTGGAAAGAAATCAAGGCCACTACTTGGTTTCACTAGGAAAGAAAGGAAAGATAGAAGAGTTTAAACTACAATGTGTCAATAGCTCATAAAAAATAGACTATACTGAGTTTTGATTGTGTGGAAAGACATATCAAAGGCCACTAGAGAAAGTTTCACTAGGAAAGAAAGGAAAGAAAGAAAGTTTAATACTACAATGTGTCAACAATAAATAATGTCTAATGTTTTGAAAAAGAATAGACTATACTGTAGAAAAGAAAGGAAAAAAGAAAGAATATCAAGGAAACTAGAAAAGAAAAAAGAAAGAAAGGAAAGAAAGAAAAGAAAGTTTAGAAACTACAATGTCAATAGCTCATAAATAATAGACTATACTGTTTTGATTGTGTGGAAAGACATATCAAAGGAAAGAAACTTGGTTTCACTAGGAAAGAAAGGAAAGATAGAAAGTTTAATACTACAATGTGTCAATAGCTCATAAATAAAGACTAACTGTTTTTTTGATTGTGTGGAAAGACATATCAAAGAAACTACTTGGAAAGAAAGGAAAGAAAGGAAAGATAAAAAGTTTAATACTACAATGTGTCAAAAGGAAATAAAAAATAGACTATACTGTTTTGATTGTGTGGAAAGACATATCAAAGCCACTACTTGGTTTCAAGGAAAGAAAGAAAGGAAAGATAGAAGAGTTTAATAAACAAATGTGTCAATAGCTCATAAATAATAGACTATACTGTTTTGATTGTGTGGAAAGACATATCAAGGCCACTACTTGGTTTCACTAGGAAAGAAAGGAAAGAAAGAAGAGTTTAATACTACAATGTGTCAATAGAAATAAATAAAGACTATACTGAAAGAAATTGTGTGGAAAGAATATCAAAGGCCACTACTTGGTTTCACTAGGAAAGAAAGGAAAGATAGAAGAGTTTAATACTACAATGTGTCAAGAAGCTCATAAATAATAGACTATACTGTTTTGATTGTGTGGAAAGACATATCAAAGAAACTACTTGGAAAGAAAGAAAGAAAGGAAAGATAGAAGAGTTTAATACTACAATGAAAGAAATAGCTCATAAATAATAGACTATACTGTTTTGATTGTGAAGGAAAGAAAGAAAGAAAGAAAAAACAAGAAAGGAAAAGAAAGAAAGGAAAGAAAGAAAAGAAAAAGAATAGAAGAGGAGAAGAAAAGGAACAATGTGTCAATAGGAAATAAATAATAGACTATACTGTTTTGATTGTGTGGAAAGACATAGAAAAGAAAGAAAGGAAAAAAAAAGATAGAAAGAAAAGAAAGGAAAGAAAGAAATAAAGAGTTTAGAAAGAGAATGTGTCAAAAGAAAGAAAGGAAAGAAAGGAAAGAAAAAGAAAGAAAGAGGAGGAAAAAGAAAACTGTTTTGATTTTGGAAAGAATATCAAACTAAAGAGGAAAGAAAGGAAAGAAAGAAGAGAAACTACAATGTGTCAATAGCTCATAAATAATAGACTAGGAAAGAAAAGAAAGAAAGAAAGAAAGATAGAAAAATACAATGTGTCAATAAAAAGAAAGAAAAAATAGACTATACTGTTTTGATTGTGAAAAAGACATATCAAAGAAACTACTTGGTTTCAAAGAAAGAAAGGAAAAAGAAAGAAAGAAAGAAAAAAAAAAGAGAGAAAGAAAATTGTGTGGAAAGAAAAAAAGAAAAGTTTAAGAAAGAAAAGAAACTGAAAGAGTTTAAAAGAAATGTGTCAAATCAAAAAAGAAATACTGTTTTGATTGTGTGGAAAGAAAGAAAGAAAGGAAAGAAAGAAGAAGAAAAAAAAGAATACTACAATGTGTCAATAGCTCATAAATAAAGACTATACTGTTTTGATTGATTGAAAAAAAACATAGAAAAGAAAGAAAAGAAAGAAAGAACTAGGAAAGAAAGAAAAAGATAGAAGAGTTTAAAACTACAATGTGTCAATAGAAAAAAAAATAGACTATAAAGTTTTGATTGTGTGGAAAGACATATCAAAGAAACTAAAGGTTTGAAGAAAGAAAGAAAGAAAGGAAAGAAAGAAGAAAGAAAGAAAAGAATGTGTCAAAGAAATAAAAAAAGACTATACTGTTTTGAAATTGTGTGGAAAGAAATAAAGGAAACTACTTGGTTTCACTAGAAAGAAAGAAAAAGGAAAGGAAAGAGTTTAATAGAAAATGAGAAAGAAAGATAAATAAAAGACTAACTGTTTTGATTGTGAAAAAGACATAAGAAAGAAAAAGAAACTTGGTTTCACTAGGAAAGAAAGGAAAGAAAGAAAGAAAGAAAAAGAAAATGAGAAATCATAAAAAACTAAGGAAAGAAAGAAAGACAGAACTAAACTGTTTTCAAAGGAAAAGAAAAGAAAAGAATCAAAAGAAAGAAAAAAAAAAATAGAAAATTGTGTGGAAAGAGAAAGAAAGAAAGAAAAGGAAAGAAAGGAAAGATAGAAGAGTTTAATACTACAATGTGTCAAAAATAAATAAAAGACTATACTGTTTTGATTGTGTGGAAAGAAATAAAAAAAGAAAGAAAGAAAGAAAGAAAAAAGAAAGAAAAGAGAGAGAAAGAAATAAACAATGTGTCAATAAGAAATAAATAATAGACTATACTGTTTTGATTGTGTGGAAAGAATAAAGAAAGCCAAAGAAAGAAAGAAAGGAAAGAAAAGAAAGGAAAGAATAGAAGAGTTTAAAAAAGAATGTGTCAATAGGAAATAAATAAAAGACTATACTGTTTTGAATTGTGTGGAAAAGACATATCAAAAAAAACTACTTGGAAAAGACTAGGAAAGAAAGGAAAGAAAGAAGAGTTTAATAAAATGTGTCAAAGAAAAAAGAAAGACTAACTGTTTTGAAAGTGTGGAAAGAAGAAAGAAAGGAACTTGGTTTCAGAAAGGAAAGAAAGGAAAGAAAGAAGAGTTTAATAAACAAAAAAGAAATAGCTCATAAATAATAGACTATACTGTTTTGATTGTGTGGAAAGACATATCAAAAGAAAGAAAGAAAGAAAAGGAAAGAAAGGAAAGATAGAAAGAAAGAAACTAAAAAGAGTCAATAGAAATAAAAAAAGAACTAGAAAGAAAATTGTGTGGAAAGAAATAAAAAAAAAAACTTGGAAAGAAAACTAGGAAGGAAAGAAAGGAAAGAAAGAAAGAAGGAAAGAACTAAAATGTGAAAGAAAAAGAAATAAAGAAAAAGAAAGAAAATACTGTTTTGATTGTGAAAGAAAGAAAGAAAGAAAAAAAGAAAGAAAGAAAAAGAACTAGAAAGAAAGAAAGGAAAGAAAGAAGAGTTTAAAGAAACAATGTGTCAAAAGAAAGAAATAAAGACTAGACTGTTTTGAAGGAAAGACATAAAGAAACTACTTGGAGAAAGAAAGAGGAAAGAAAGGAAAGAAAGAAGAAGAAATACTACAATGTGTCAATAAATAAATAATACTAGAAATTGTGTGGAAAGAAAGAAAAAAAAGAAAGGAAAGAAAGGAAAGAAGAAGAGTTTAAACTACAATGTGTCAAGAAAAAAGAAAGAAATAAAGAGAATACTGTTTTGATTGTGTGGAAAGAACATAAGAAAAGAAAGAAACTTGGTTTCACTAGGAAAGAAAAGAAAGAAAGAAAAGTTTAAAAAGGAATGTGTCAAAAGAAATAAAGAAAACTGAAATACTGTTTTGAAAAAAAAAAGAAAGACATAGAAAGAAAAAAGACTTGGTTTCAAAAGGAAAGAAAGGGAAAGATAGAAAGTTTAAGAAAGAAAAATGTGTCAAGAAAGAAAGAAAGGAAAGACTATACTGTTTTGAAAGAAAGAAAAGAAATCAAAAAAGCCAAAAGAAAGTTTCACTAGAAAAGAAAGGAAAAAAAAGAAAGAGTTTAAAGAAAACAATGTGTCAATAGCTCATAAAAAAGAAAGAAAGACTGTTTTGATTGTGTGGAAAGACATATCAAAGCCAGACTTGGTTTCACTAGGAAAGAAAGGAAAGAAGAAGAAAGTTTAAAGAAATGTGAAAGCTCATAAAAAGACTATACTGTTTTGATTTGTGGAAAGAAAAGAAAGGAAAGAAAGGAAAGAAGAAAAGAAAGGAAAGAAAAAAGAATAGCTCAAAAATAATAGAAATACTGTTTTGAAGTGGAAAGAAAGAAAGAAAGGCCAAAGAGAAAGTTTCAAAAAAGAAAAGAAAGGAAAGAAAGAAAGAAAAAAGAAATAAACAATGTGAAAATAAAAAGAAAATAATAGAGAAAAGTGGAAAGAAGTAGGAAGAAAGGAAAAAGAAATATCAAAGCCAAACTTGAAAGAAAGAAAGAAAGAAAAGAAAAGAAAGGAAAAGAGTTTAATAAACAATGTGTCAAAGCTCATAAATAAAAGACTAACTGTTTTGATTGTGTGGAAAGAAAGAAAAAGAAACTACTTGGAGAACTAGGAAAGAAAGGAAAGAAAGAAAGTTTAATAAAACAATGAAAAAATAGCTCATAAAGAAATAGACTAAACTGTTTTGATTGTGTGGAAAGACATAAAGGAAAACTACTTGGAAAGAAGGAAAGAAAGGAAAGAAAGAAGAGTTTAAAGAACAATGTGAAAATAGCTCATAAAAAATAGAAAGATAAAGAAGAAAGTTTTGATTGTGTGGAAAAAAGAAAGAAAAGAAAAGAAGACTTGGAAAGAAAGAAGGAAAGAAAGGAAAGAAAGAAAGAAAGAAATACTAAAGTGTCAAAGAAAAGGAAAATAATAGACTATAAAGTTTTGAAGTGTGGAAAACATAAGGAAAGACTAGGGAGGAGAAAAAAGGAAAGAAAGAAAGAAAGAAAGAAGAGTTTAAAACTACAATGTGAAAATAGAAGGAAAGAAAGAAAGAAAAGTTTTGATTGTGTGAAAAAACATATCAAAGCCACTACTTGGAAAGAAAAAGGAAAGAAAGGAAAGAAAGAAGAGTTTAATAAGAAACAAGAAAGAAATAAATAAAAGACTATACTGTTTTGATTGTGTGGAAAGACATATCAAGGAAACTAAAGTTTCAAAGGAAAGAAAAGAAAGAAAGAACTACAAAAAAAAAACAATGAAAGAAAGACATAAAGAAAGGAAAAAAAAGAAAAGAAAGAGTTTAATAAGAAAAAAGAAAAGAAAGAAACTGTTTTGATTGTGGAAAGCAAAAGAAAGGAAAAAAGAAAGAAAGAAAGAAATAAAAAAAAGAAAAAAGAAAAAGAAAAAAAAGAAAGAAATAGCTCAGGAAAAATAGACTAGACTGTTTTGAAAGAAAGAAAGACATAAGAAAAGCCAGAAAGAAAGAAAGAAAGGAAAGAAAGGAAAGAAAGAAGAGTTTAAAAACAATGTGTCAAAAGGAAAATAAATAATAGAAATACTGAAAGAAAAGTGGAAAGAAATCAAAAAAGAAAGAAAGAAAGGAAAGAAAGGAAAGAAAGAAAAGTTTAATAAACAATGAAAGAAAGAAATAAATAATAGACTATACTGTTTTGATTGTGTGGAAAGACAAATCAAGGCCAAAGAAAGAAAGGAAAGAAAAGGAAAGAAAGAAAAAAAGACTACAATGTGTCAAAGAAAGAAATAAAAGACTATACTGTTTTGATTGTGTGGAAAGACAAAAGAAAGGCCAAAGAAAGAAAGAAAGGAAAGAAAGGAAAGAAAGAAAGAAATAAAAAGAAAGAAAGCTCAGAAATAATAGACTATACTGTTTTGATTGTGTGGAAAAGAAATCAAGGCCACTACTTGAAAAAGGAAAGAAAAGGAAAGAAAGAAGAGTTTAATACTAAATGTGTCAAGAGAGCTCATAAAAAGAGACTATACTGTTTTGAGAAAGAAAAAACATATCAAAAAACTAGGAAAAGAAAGAGGAAAGAAAGGAAAGAAAGAAAGAAAGAAAAGAAAAGAAAGTCAATAGAAAGAATAAAAGAAATACTGTTTTGATTGTGGGAAAGAAATCAAAAAAACTTGGAAAGAAGGAAGGAAAGAAAGGAAAGATAGAAGAGTTTAATAACAATGTGTCAAAGAAAAGAATAGACTATAGATTGTGTGGAAAGACAAAAGAAAGAAAGAAAGAAAGAAAGGAAAGAAAGGAAAGAGAAGAAAAGAAAAAGAAAAGAAAAAAAAAATAAAAAGACTATAGGGTTTTGATTGTGTGGAAAGAAATCAAGAAAGAAAGAAAAGAGTTTCAAAGGAAAGAAAGGAAAGAAAGAAAGTTTAAAGAAAGAACAATGTGAAAAAAAGAAATAAAGGAAAGACTATACTGTTTTGATTGAAGAGAAGAAAGAAAAAGAAAGAAAGAAAGAAAAGAAGGAAAAAAGAAAAAAGAAAAAAAAAGAATGTGTCAAAGAGAAAGAAAGAAAACTGTTTTGAAAAAAGAAAAGAAAAAAAAGAAAAGGAAAAAGAAGAAAGTTTAAAAGAAAATGTGGAAATAGAACAAAAAAGAGAGAAAGTTTTGATTGTGTGGAAAAGAAAAGAAACTACTTGGAGAAAGAAAAAGGAAAAGAAAGAAAGGAAATAAACAATGAAAAAGGAAAGAAAGAAAAATGGAAAGAAAGACTAAAGAAAAAAAGAAAGTGATAAAAAGAAAGACATAAAAAAGAAAGAAAAGAGAAAGAAAGAAGGAAGAAAAGGAAAGAAGAAAGTTTAATAAACAATGTGTCAATAGCTCATAAATAATAAAGAATTGTGTGGAAAGAAAAACTTGGTTTTGAGAAAAAAAAAGAAAGAAAGAAACTACTAAAAGAAAGAAAAAGAAAGAAACTGTTTTGAAAGAAAGAAGATCAAAAGAAAAGAAAGAAAGAAAGAAAGAAAGAAAAGAAAGAAACTAAATGAAAAATAAAAATAGAGAAACTGTTTTGAAAAGGAAAGAAAAAAAGAAGAAAGAAAGAGAGGAAAGAAGGAAAGAGAAAGAAAGACAATGTGAAAAAAGAAAGGAAGAAAGAAAGTTTTGAGAAAGGAAAGAAAGAAAGAAAGAACTACTTGGTTTCAAGAGGAAAGAAAGAAAAAAGAAAGAAAAGTTTAAAGAAAGAAAATAAAGAATAAATAATAGAAAGAACTGTTTTTGATTGTGTGGAAAGACAAATCAAAAGAAACTAAAAAGAAAGAAAAGGAAAGAAAGGAAAAAAAAGAAAGTTTAAAGAAACAAATGTGTCAAAGAAAGAAAAGAATAGAAAAAAAGAAAAAAAGATTGAAAGTGGAAAGAAAGGAAAGAAAAAGAAGAAAGGAAAAGGAAAGAAAGAAAGAAAAAGAAAGAAAGAAAAAAAGGAAACAATGTGAAAGAAAGAAAGAAAGGAAAGAAATTGTGTGGAAAGAAAAGAAAGCCAACTTGGTTTCACTAGAAAAAGAAAGGAGAAAGAAAAAAAGAAAACAATGAAATAGCTCATAAATAAAGACTATACTGAATTGTGTGGAAAGAAAGAAAGCCAACTTGAAAGAAAGAAAGAAAAAAGAAAAAAGAAAAGGAAAATGTGTCAATAGGGAAAAGGAAAGAATAAAGAAACTGAAAAGATTGTGTGGAAAGAAAGAAAAGAAAAACTAAAGGAAAGAAAAGGAAAAAAGGAAAGATAGAAAGAAAATAAACAATGAAAAAAGAAGATAAAAGGAGAAAGAAAGTTTTGATTGTGTGGAAAGACAAAAGGAAAAGTTTCAAGGAAAAAAAAGGAAAGAAAGAAAGAAAAACAGAAAGAAAAAGAAAGAAGAAAAATAAAAGAAATAAAAGAAAGAGAAAGAAAGAAAAGAAAGACAAAGGAAAAGAAAGGAAAAAGAAAAGAAAGAAAGAAAGAAAAAAAGAAAGAAAGAAAAAAGAAAGAAAAAAAAGACTAGAAAGAAAGGAAAAAAAGAAAGAAAAAAAGAAAAAAAAGTTTTGATTGTGTGGAAAAGACAATCAAAAAAAGAAAAAGAAAGGAAAAGAAAGGAAAGAAAGAAAGAAAGAAACAAGGAGAAAGAAAGAAAAAAGACTAAACTGTTTTGAAAAAAAAGACAAAGAAAGAACTTGGAAACTAGAAAGAAAGAAAAAGAAAGAAAGAGTTTAAAAGGACAAAAAAGAAAGAAAATAAAGAAAGGAAAGAAAAGTGTGGAAAGACATAAGAAAGGAAAAACTTGGTTTCAAGAAGGAAAGAAAGAAAAAGAAAAAAAGAAAAAAAAGAATGTGAAAGGAAAGAAAGGAGACTAAACTGTTTTGATTGAAAGAAAGAAAGAAAGGAAAAAGAAAGGAAAAAAGAAAGAAAGAGAAAGAGGGAAATAAAACAAAGTGAAAAAAGGAAAGGAAAGAATAGACTAAACTGAAAAAGAATTGTGTGGAAAGAAAAAGGAAAGAAAAAGGAAAAAGGAAAGAAAAAAGAAAAAGGAAAAAAAGGAAAAAGGAAAGAAAAAGAAAAAAAAGAAAGAAAAGGAAAGAAAAGAAAAAAAAAAGAAAAGGAAAAAAAAAAAGAAAGAAAGAAAAAAAAAAATGAAAAGGAAAAAAAGAGATAGAAAAAGGAAAAGACAAAGGAAAAAAAGGAAAAAAAAAGAAAGAAAAGAAAAGAAAAAAGAAAAGAAAAAAAAAAAAGAAAGAAAGAAAAAAAAAAGGAAAAGAAAAAAAGAAAAAGGAAAGAAAAAAAAAAAGAAAAGAAAAAAAAAAATAAAAAAAAAGAAAAAAAAAAAGAAAAAAAAAGGAAAAAAAAGAAAGAAAGGAGAGAAAAAAGAAAAAAAATGAAAAAAAAAGAAAGACTAACTGTTATATGAAAAAAAAAAAAGAAAAAAAAAGAAAAGGAAAGAAAAGGAAAAGTTAAAAAAAAAAAAAATAAAAACTCAAAAGGAAAAAAGAAAAGAAAAAAAAAAGGAAAAGGAAAAAAAAAGAAAAGGAAAAAAAAGAAAAAAGGAAAGGAAAAGAAAAAGAAAAAAAAAAAAAAAGGAAAAAAAAAAGAAAAAAAAAAGAAAAAGAAAAAAAAAAAAAAGAAAAAAAAAAAAAAAAAAAAGGAAAGGAAAGGAAAGAAAAAGAAAATGAAAATTTGTTTTGAAGCTCGAAAAAAAGGAAAGAAAGAAAGAAAAAGGAACAGGAAAAATTAGAAAAAAAGAAATAAAAGAAGAAAGAATGAAAAAGGAAAGGAAAGAAAAAATTGAAGATGTGAAAGAAAAGGAACTAAAGAAAGGAAAGAAAGGAAAGGAAAAAAAAAAAGACAATGTGTCAATAAAAAGAAATAAAAGAATAGAAACTGTTTTGAAAAGGAAAAAAATATCAAAAAGCTTGGAACTAGGAAAGAAAAGGAAAGAAAAAATTTAAAGAAAAGAGTCAATAGAAAAGAAAGAAAGAAAAAAGAAAAGGAAAGAAAGAAAAGAAACAAGGAAAGAAAAAAGGAAAAGAGAAGGTTTAAAAGAAAACGGACTCCAAGATCATTTGAATCGCTTTTGATTGAAAGAAAGGAAAGAGTTAAAGAAAGAAAGAAAAAGGGCTTGTAAATTGAAAGGTTTAGTGTATGTCAATAGCTCTTAAATAATTTGACTGGGGAAAAAAAGACATATCAAAATCCTTTAAAGAAGGAAAGAAAGAAAGAAAGGAATATTTACTGTGCTTTCTCTCAAAAGGAAGTAAATAATAGAACTCCAGTTTTGACAGTAAAATAATCATTTCAAAGAAATACTTGGTTTCAAGGAAACTTGTCTGATGGAGTAAACAATGATAAGCTCAAAGGGGAATTTCAACTGGAATTGTGTGGAAGAAAGGCCAAAGCAAAGCCAAGGAAAAAAAAAGAAAGATAGAAAGGGAGAGAAAACTTTTTTAGCTTTTGAACCAAAGAAAAAAAAGAAGATAATTCTTTCTGGGATGAGTTTATTGGAAAGAAAGCATATCAAGATAGATGAGAACTGAAAGAAAAGTTTTCTAAAATGTGTCAAACAGCCATCTGTTAGATAAGTTCTGCGAAACTATATGTTTTGTAGTGATGGAAAGACAAGATCAAGGGCCATTACTTAGAATCTATTTGTTGAATAAATAAATCCCACAATGTGAAATATTTAATATATTTTTTACACCCTCTGACTAGGTAAATAGTTTTGGAAAGATAGAGGTTTGTTCCAAAGATCTGGAAATGAACTTTTTTGCTGATCTACACTATCCCACCTGGTCCACGAAACCTGCTGGCTATAACCTGCCATTTTGTCATCTGCTTTTCCACCATCCTCAAACTTTATTTTGTCCTGTATTAGGTATTGACGATCCTTCATGATGATTTTTCCGATATGTAGGAAGGAATCAGTCCCAGGCCTGTTTTCCCTGCCCAACTGAACCCACTATTTTTTTTTATCCTGAGGTTCCTCCTGCAATAGCCAGTTTTTTAGCTATTTCCATCTTCAGCCTCATTGACCTCAATCCTGTCAGGACCTCAATACCCACGCCTGACACTTTGGGATTATTGCTTTTATATACTGGTAGGTTGCCAAGGGCTTGTTACAACAAACCATGAACCTCACGCCTGACATGGGATCCCTGAATGGTAGTTCTCTTGTCTGTGAAACCACAACTCCCCTCAAGGATGATCATGGTTGTTCGCAAGAAGGCTCTGCATAAGGAGATAATCCTAACCATCTATGGAGGAAACTGCTAGCACTTATCCAATGTCTCCACAGTTTGAAATGGGAACGCTATATGTTTGAGTGGCCATAATGCTTGTGGGAGCATTAGTGATGGTATAGCCAGGCTTTGAAACACCCTGGCAATCCAGACTTATTTATTTTCACCAACCACTTAATAATAAAAAATTAATATTGATAGTATTATCTTCATTATTTTTTTATCCTTATCTACATATTTTGTTTCTTTAAATTTGTTCTTTATTTATCGGTTCTTGATTTATTTAATTTTTAACTTATTTTTCATATTGCTTAAATTTTTTTTATTTAGTTTACTTTATTGATGTTGAATATTATTATTAATAATAATTTGAAATTGTGATTATTATTATAATGCAATGAGTTTTGCTGCCTGAAATGAGATGATTAGACATATTACTGTAAAAAAAAAAAAAAAAAAAAAAAATCGGTCTGAAGAGATGAATATTTAAATATATTCACAAAATAAATTATAACTGAAATGGATTTTAAGGATTTTCTTTACTTATTATTATATTGTTTTTTGTTACTTACATTGAGCTCTCTTTGGATTAATACCTTCCTTAGAATTATCCCTACCAATTGAGATATATACACACACACCTTCCACTATTGATATAACAAAATTTATGGGTTATAGGATAGCAATAGGTAAAAGTAATGATGACTAGTTCCACTTGTAAATACCCGGGACCTATATCATTTGTGCTCTAACTTCTCGTGAATCAGTGTAAACTTGGCTAAGCTATGCATGTCAAGGAAATGTGAATTATTAGAGTTTGAACTGATGTGAATTCCATTTCTGAAATTGTGGGGATATTTAATATCCCTTGATTTTCAGTGCGTCATATGTGTACCACGAATATCTGATGGAAGATACGACAGCTCACTGAACAATAACAGAGAAATGACTGGCTCAAATGACATTCACATTTTATGAAGATCACATCAGACACATTGAGCTAGTCAATTCAGCATTCTTAAGCTTTCATGGGACATAAGAGCAAAGGGCTCACTAGAATGACCCTATCAACAATATAACACTGAACACAGGACCTCACCTGTATTTATGACATTGTTATAGAACCTGGAGGATTGGCAACATGTAAATGTGGTTTAATAAGTCATGGTTTTAGTTGTTTCTGAGTGGCAGTAGGATTTGGATTTTGCAAAGATACCATGATGTTATGGCAACAAGTTGTCAATAAAGCACCATGCAGACAAATGATGCATTCACATGGCATGGCACGGGGTTTGGTCTGTTGGTCCACCTGAATGTATCGCTGATTGATGACTACAACATTGCACTGTTTCATGACCATTTGTAGCCACTCAGTCACATTCTTATCACTATAATGTAACTTTCCCATGCCTTTTCTACAAATACTTACAGGGTAATTGTCTTGAAGAGTTTTCCTTGGTATCATGATAATTACAAATTTAAACACAGTAATAGATTGGCAGCTCAATCTTATTTTACAGTTAAAATTGCTAAATGTAACTAAGTTCTATGCCAACAGTTTCTTTGCATTTCCCACTTGTGGAACTTTTCTTCCTGTCTCCTTAATTCCTGATCTTTCATTGTTCTCTATCCTTAATAATGTTTTTCATTTACTAGTATAATTTTACACTCAGTAACTCCTTGCATTTTAGTGGCTTTATTGCCTTGTTTGGAGGAAATGAAAAGAAAAATCATAGAATTCTTTTATGCTAACAATGACGAGTTGTTCCAGCAGGATAGTTCATTGTCATTGGGGACCAAGTTGCCCAAACTTGGTTTGAGGAAAATTTGGGAAACTTCTGACAAAAGTGAGGCTATCATGTTTGTCTGAATATTTATGGAATGTAGTGAAGATGTCCATTCAAATGCAAGAACCTGCATTAACAAATATCTGAGTTGTGAACTGCTACTGAGACTGAATGGCTTAACATGGTCATAAGTTCACTTGTGGAATTGCCACTGGGCTAGAGGAGGTCCTATGCAATACTTGACACCTATCCAATGACCTTTTGACACAGCAGTATATATATATACATATACATGTATTTTTTACATAAGTATTATAAATCAAGTTTTTACAATTAAGTAAACCCTAGGTATATTTAAACATAAAGAATGTAGGAATGTATATATAATAATTCTCCTTCCAAATTTTCCAGGTTATTCATTCTAAGTCAACTGTGTTGTGTTGTATTGAATTACCAATAGTAGAAATAAAATCTACAACATACATTGGCCAAACAACCACAACATTTTCACATACAGACTAACATCCTATTCATCAGACAAGTGTGCCATAAAAAGTTCTTAATCAAAGGAATCATATCTTCAAACTTATATTATTCATGAATGTTGCAAAGCTATCACACACATTAAAGTCAAACATAATTGGAAGAAAACAAGAGGAAAAAAAAAAAACATGAAAACAAATCTGCCTATGGTCTTTAAGAAAAACATACTTTATTATTTATGCCCCCACATACATGGGAAGAGGAGTCTGAAAAGCTCTTGGTTTCATTCACTTCTTCAAATATGACCAAGAACATAATTTAGGATAATTTCTTCCTGGCCAAGCCTTTCAGCGCCCCATGTATCAATTCTATTTAAGTTTAAAAAGAAAAGACTGATGTCAAACTGAACATTTTTTAAGTCACTTAGTAAATGAAATAATGCCCCCGCCACTTTCATCTATTTCTTTCAGTTCTACTTGGATGGCATTGAGGTGGAAGTGTAAAGAGGCAACCATTTTCAACAGGAATCCATCTCTTGAAAAATTGACTGACTAATCAAATTCTTCTAAAAAAAAAAAAAAAAAATTTTCAGATCGACACAGGTTTAAAAAAAAAAAAAAAACATGTTCTCCTTTGCAAAACTTCTTGAATTTATCATATATATATATATATATATATATATATATATATATATATATATATATACCCTCCACCAACAATTTATAAAAGATAAGAAAAACAGGCCTTCTTTGCAAAAGCAAGAAAGAATATGCTCGATATATTGAACATTCACATCAGGTCCACCAAATGCATATGCATGCACACACATACACACACACAAAATGTATAGAGTAGTGATAGTATTTGATACTATTATATTTGATGATATTTAAGCCCCAGCTTCCCATTTACAGTCAAATGGACTTAGGCTTGTCTAAGGAACCGATAGTCTACAGTGTCTGAGGAATATTAACCTACCTGATACCTTAAGAGATTTTTTTTTTTTTTTACACAATTTGTGGCTGGGAGGGGAAATTAGGTAGTTTTATATATAGTTTTCATCAATAAAAACTTGTTTTTAACATTTGCAAGTAAACATTTGCCATTGGGTATTATAATTTTAAACTTTACATGGTGGGAGGGAGGTGTTCAAAAAATAGATAGAAATCTGTGTACCAAGTCCTCTATGAGAGATGATCATAGTTCTCCACAATTTCCTTTCTCTTGTTTGTTTTAAGAGTATCTCTTATATAGTATAATTTAAAAAAAAATCAAGTGAAAAATCAAACAGGTTTTTTTAAGAGAAAATGAAGCCCAAGAGAAGAATGAGTTGAGTCAAAAGAAAATGGTTGGAATGTTTGTATTCATTAAATTATGCCAACTATTAAAAGGATTCACTTAGGAAAACATGCAAGAAAAATTTAACTTAAAAGAAAAAGACTATGGCTTAATTGATATTTTTTTTTTTATTTGGAGTTTCAAATTGGATAAGATAAAAGGGCAAAAAACTGATTTAGAAATAAAATGGGCAAACAGATTAAAAAAAAAATTCCTCAAGCTGATATTTGCCACAAAATGATTTTTAAGATTTTAATTATAAAGAATTTGCCAAGAGGGCAATAAAATGATGAAAATCAAAAAGGAGAGAACAGAAGAAAAATAAAAGAACATGTATAAACTGAAATAGTAAAAAGGTTTGCAGGAGAAGAGATGTGAAATAAAAAAAAAAAAGAACAGATAAGGGGAGGGAAGACTGAGAAGTAGCCCCATGTTTACCAAAGCTTAACAAAAATGTTGGGAATAGTGGAGTGAAATATTCTGGAATGTCTTGCCAGCAATGCAAAGGGAACACTTTAGTGGCAAACAGAGGAAATTGATAGCAAGAAGTGCACAAAAGACAAACAAACAAAAACAAAAAAAAAAAAAAAAAAAAAAAGGGAAGAGGGTGGGGATGAGGGTGGGGCATCTTATAGCTGAGCCTGTGTCCCAAACTTTGAACATGATAGGGATGAATACCAATGTAGTAAGAAAAATGGCTGTTATGATTCAGAAAACTCCTAACTCAAACCAGTGGTGCCCCACCCCATGCTGAAATTCCTTTTTACCCTAGCCAAAGGACTGGTTGCTCCACAAAGATATTTCTCACTCTTTATTCAGGCGAAAGAGATTTGGATCTGACAAACCAATACTAATTTGATAAAGTACATGTAATAAATCAACTTTGAAATGAGAAACTGAACAGATCTCCATTATCAAAGAACACAATTCAGGAAGGCATTATTGAGAGGACATTATAGTGGCATTCCAGTAGATGGAAAAAGGGTTTGAAGCTGAAGCAGCTGCCAGACACAACATGCATTAAAATAAAGCCTCTTCCCCTAAACTGCACTTCTGTTGCAGTGTTGGTCTTCAGAGTGATTAATTCAGCAACAACTGACTTAGAAAAGATAAAATTTTATTTTTATGACAAAGTAGAGAAAATATGCAATAAATAATGCAACTGATTTGAAAAGAGGAGATAACCCTTCCAAGAACAAAGATGATGGGTGGAAGAGGCCTTTAAAAGAATGCGGAGGACAACTTTTTTTTTTCAATGCAGGAAGGACAGTGAGTAACACCACATACCCATGCATGTCCCTAACAACCTGATGAGTCAAAAAAACCCAGCAAATCTATGATTAAATGAATTTGGGAGGGGGATGTGCTTTTCTACAAAAGTAGTAAAAAATAATAGCTTTGTCATCTTTTACAAATTATTTGAGAAAAAGAAATATTTTCCAGATTCCTTTTAAAATATATGGCATCATTTGACATACAATTGGAGAAAAATTAATATATTTCTTAAAATCCAAATTGTGAAAAATTATTGGTTATAAAAAACAGTCTTTATAATAAAATAGAAAATATATCATGTGTTTGTTCCATAATTTGTAGATTTGGAGGAAATGTTCAGACTAAAATACAGTTTCACAATATTTGTTATAATGAGGATAAGGGTAATAAATTTTATTAGATTTAACAACCGGAAAGTGTTTGTGTGTGTGTGTATATATATATATATATATTTTTTTTTTTTTCTTCAAAAAATTGAAACCAAACCTCAATAAAATTAATTATGAATACTCCACAAACATTTTAAAATGTGTACAATAGATAGTCTTTAAATGTTAGCGCTTGTCATTAATAGTTTTTCCTTTATCTAGCAAGTACTCAACATGGAATTTTCTACAGCTTACCTAGTTACCTCCCTTTAAAGTTTGTGACGCCATTTAGGCTTTATTACATAAAAGTGGTAATCTTCAGATGACCACAACAATTATTGTCCTTTCACAACCATGAACACTAACTTACACTATGTTTAACAATACCCTGATGATGACATTATGCTATGTCGAAAGTACTCTGAATATATTACAATGTGAGCTAACACAGTGTTTTCCTCTCATCTTTTAACTATATATATATATATATATATATATATATATATATAAAGAGCTGTTGATGTCTCTTGGATTTTAAATCAGCCTACCAGAATAGAACTGTAAATGCTATATACTGCATTTGTGATGATATTATATAAGGTTTGATTTTATGCAGATTAAGTGTAATTATATCTCAAATGTTTTGGTTCAAAACTCATCTCATAAAAATCCAGTAATACCTGACTGAAATTCAAAATGGTTTAAATTTATCCAGACAATAAAAAAAAAAAAAAAAATTGTTTTAAAAATTTTTTTTTTTTTTTTTAAATATCTTCTGGATAAATTTTGTAATTTTAGCATGATGAGGCAGGTATTAAGAACTTACCTGCTGAAATAAATTTATTACTGGATTTTTTGAGATGTGCTAAGTCTTTTTCCTTTGATGTATTTCATATTGCTCTGTATACAATACATTGAGCTCTCTTCATGGACCTATCTATATTTTTATATGTATTATCCTTTCCACTTATGAATGTGTATATATATATATATATATATATATATATATATAAAAGAGGTTATAGTGGTTCTAATGAGAGAAAAGTGTGTATATAAAAAGAAGAGAGGTACCACAAACGTTTTTGGTTGTAATGTAGATTTAAAAAAAAAAAAAAATTATGCTTTTATTTTCCATAATTTTAGTACATGTGTTTCTGGTCTCGTGACTGTCTTCAGGTAAAGGGTGGAGATTCCACATATTATTAAAAAATAATTCATTTTTTCCTTTATGTTTTTCGGTTAAATATTCTCAATACGAGATATTCTGTTTTTTGTGTTAGTATTGAATGTTTTCTTGAATTCAAGAAAGAATTTGGATTATGTTTGTGTGTAATCATTCAAACATTGTCTGGCTACATTGTCTTTTTATAATCCTAGATCCGAAGCATGACCATTTTGCCAACAGGCCAGGATTTCTTTTATATACAGTCTGAATTAATAAATATTATTTACACCAAAAACAAACACATTGGACCAATAAATTACTTTTTAATGCATGAGGAGAAAGAAAAAAGGAGAGGTGGAGAAAGAGAAAGAAAAGAGAAAAAAGATACTAGTCCAAGTAATTCATGAAATTATTATTCATCTGTAAACTTTAAAACCATCAAAAAAGAAAAAAAAGAAAAAAAGGAAAGAAAAGAAAAGGAAAGAAAAGAAAGGAAAGAAAAGAAAAGAAAGAAAAAGAAAAGAAAAAGAAAAAGAAAAGAAAGAAAAGGAAAAGGAAAGAAAGAAAAGGAAAGAAAGAAAAGGAAAGAAAGAAAAGGAAAGAAAGAAAAGGAAAGAAAGAAAAGAAAGAAAAGAAAAAGAAAGAAAAGGAAAGAAAGAAAAGAAAAAGAAAAGAAAAGGAAAGAAAGAAAAGAAAAGAAAAGGAAAGAAAGAAAAGGAAAGAAATAAAGGAAAGAAAGAAAAGGAAAGAAAAAAGGAAAGAAAGAAAAGGAAAGAAAGAAAAAGGAAAGAAAAGAAAAGGAAAGAAAGAAAAGGAAAGAAAGAAAAGAAAAAGAAACTAAAAAGGAAAGAAAGAAAAGGAAAGAAAGAAAAGGAAAGAAAGAAGGAAAGAAAGAAAGGAAAGAAAGAAAAAGGAAAAAGAAAAAGGAAAGAAAGAAAAGGAAAGAAAGAAAAGGAAAGAAAGAAAAGGAAAAAGAAAGAAAAGGAAAAAGAAAAGGAAAGAAAGAAAAGGAAAGAAAGAAAAGGAAAGAAAGAAAAGGAAAGAAAAAAAAAGGAAAGAAAGAAAAGGAAAGAAAGAAAAGAAAAAGAAAGAAAGAAAGAAAAAGAAAAGAAAGGAAAGAAAGAAAAGGAAAGAAAGAAAAGGAAAGAAAGAAAAAGGGAAAGAAAGAAAAGGAAAGAAAAAAAGGAAAGAAAGAAAAGGAAAGACGCTAAAAGGAAAGAAAGAAAAGGAAAGAACAAAAAAGGAAAGAAAAGAAAGGAAAGAAAGAAAAGGAAAGAAAGAAGGAAAGAAAGAAAAAGGAAAGAAAAAAAAAGGAAAGAAAGAAAAGGAAAGAAAAGAAAGGAAAGAAAGAAAAGGAAAGAAAGAAAAGGAAAGAAAGAAAAGGAAAGAAAGAAAAGGAAAGAAAGAAAAGGGAAAGAAAGAAAAGGAAAGAAAATAAAAGGAAAAAAAAAAGGGAAAGAAAGAAAAGGAAAGGAAAGAAAAAAAGGAAAGAAAGAAAAGGAAAGAAGAAAAGGAAAGAAAGAAAAAGAAAGTCTAAAAGAAAAAAGGAAAGAAAGAAAAGAAAGAAAAGAAAAGGAAAGAAAGAAAGGAAAGAAAAGGAAAAGAAAAAGGAAAGAAAAGGAAAAAAAAAAAGGAAAGAAATGAAAAGGAAAAAAAAGAAAAGGAAAGAAAGAAAAGGAAAGAAAGAAAAGGAAAGAAAGAAAAGGGAAAGAAAAGGAAAGAAAGAAAAGGAAAGAAAGAAAAGGAAAGAAAGAAAAGGAAAGAAAGAAAAGGGAAAGAAAGAAAAGGAAAGAAAGAAAAGGAATTAAAAGAAAAGGAAAGAAAGAAAAGGAAAAGAAAGAAAAGGAAAGAAAGAAAAGGAAAGAAAGAAAAGGAAAGAAAGAAAAGGAAAGAAAGAAAAGGAAAGAAAGAAAAGGAAAGAAAGAAAAGGAAAGAAAGAAAAGGAAAGAAAGAAAAGGAAAGAAAGAAAAAAGGAAAGAAAAGAAAAGGAAAGAAAGAAAAGGAAAGAAAAAAAAAGGAAAGAAAGAAAAGGAAAGAAAGAAAAGGAAAGAAAGAAAAGAAAGAAAGAAAAGGAAAGAAAGAAAAGGAAAGAAAGAAAAGGAAAGAAAGAAAAGGAAAGAAAGAAAAGGAAAAAAAGAAAAGGAAAGAAAGAAAAGAAAAAAAAGAAAGAAAGGAAAGAAAGAAAAGGAAAGAAAAAAAGGGAAAGAAAGAAAAGGAAAAAAAGAAAAGGAAAGAAAGAAAAGGAAAGAAAAAAAAGGAAAGAAAGAAAAGGAAAGAAAAGAGAAAAAGAAAGAAAAAGGAAAGAAAAAAAGGAAAGAAAGAAAAGGAAAGAAATAAAAGGAAAGAAAGAAAAGGAAAGAAAGAAAAGGAAAGAAAGAAAAGAAAGAAAGAAAAGGAAGCAAAAGAAAAGGAAAGAAAGAAAAGGGAAAGAAAGAAAAGAAAAGAAAAAAAAGAAAAGAAAGAGAAAGGAAAGAAAGAAAAGGAAAGAAAGAAAACTGAAAGAAAAGGAAAAAAAGAAAAGAATTTAAATTTGCAAAAAGAAAGGAAAGAAAGAAAAAGGAATTAAAAAGAAAAAGGAAAGAAAGAAATAGAAAAAAAAAGGAAAGAAAAAGAAAAGAAAAAGAAAGAAAAAAAGAAAGAAAGAAAAGAAAGAAAAGAAAAGGAAAGAAAGAAAAGGAAAGAAAGAAAAGGAAAGAAAGAAAAAGGAAAGAAAAATAAAAAGGAAAGAAAGAAAAGGAAAGAAAGAAAAAGGAAAAAAAAGGAAAGAAAGAATGCAAAAGAAAGAAAAGGAAAGAAAGAAAAAAAAGAAAAGGAAAGAAAGAAAAGGAAAGAAAGAAAAGGAAAGAAAGAAAAGGAAAGAAAGAAAAAAGGAAAGAAAGAAAAGGAACAAAAGAAAAGGAAAGAAAGAAAAGGAAAGAAAGAAAGAAAAGAAAGAAAAAAAGAAAAAAAGGAAAGAAAGAAAGAAAGAAAAAAAAAGAAAGAAAGAAAAGGACTAAGCAAAAAGAAACAAAAGAAAGAAAGAAAAGGAAAGAAAGAAAGAAAAGGAAAGAAAGAAAGAAAAGGAAAGAAAGAAAGAAAAGGAAAGAAAGAAAGAAAAGGAAAGAAAGAAAGAAAAGGAAGGAAAGAAAGAAAAGGAATCTTTGTTTCTTTTTCCATGTTCTCGCAAACCATATAAAGGAGGATGAAAGAAGGACATATAAAAAAGAAAAAAGATATTTTTTTTTTTTATTAAATACAAAGTATTTGACAAAAGGGTCCGAAAGGACAGCTAAATTGTTTTATCCAAAACAAAAAGGGGACAATTTGAAAAAAATTAATTTTAGATTTAGAGGATTAACCCAAAGGGATTTACAGTGATTTTAAAAAAGGAAAAAAAAACTTCTCCCCAAAAAAAGAAAAGGAAAAAAAAAAAAAAAAAAAGAAAGAAAAAAAAAAAATTTGAAAAAAGAAAGGAAAAAAGAAAAGGCTTATTTTGATTTTTTTAAATCTTTGAAAAAAAAAGGGTCAAAAAAAAAAAAAAGGAAAAATGCAAAAAGAAAAGAAAAAGGTTTTCGAAAGGAAAAAAGATTTTCAAAAAATTGGGGGGAAAGAATAAGGAAAAAAAAAGAAAAAAGAAAAGGAAATGAGCAAAAAAGAAAAGGGAAAAGAAAGGAAAAAAGATTCTAAAAAAAATTTATTTGTTTAGAATAAAAATAAAAAAGATAAGGAAAAAAAGAAGAGGAAAATAAAAAGGAAAAAGGAAAAAAAGGAAAAAAAAAAAAGAAAAAAAAAAAAAAATTAAAAAACAAAAAGAAAAAAAAGAAAGGAAAAAGGAAAAATAAAGGGGAAAGAAAAGGAAAAAAGGATGAAGGAAAAAAGAAAAGGAAAAAAAAGGAAAAAAGGAAAAGAAGAAGGGAAATAAAAGAAAAAAGAAAAAAAAAAGGAAAAAAAAAAAGGAAAAGGAAAAGCTGAGGAACACATGTGTTAATCTTAAGAGGAGAGATTAGGCAAAAAGCTTGTTTAATTTTAGGAATAAACAAAACAAAACCTGGTGTCTTAAAAATTGATAACAAAGATGAGGGCCTGTGCCTGGTCAAAGTAGGATGAGTGCCTAAACAGTGAAAAATATGATGAACTGAGCCTGGGCAGAAGGGAAAGATTGAAAAAAGAAGATTCAAACAATTTAGGATAATGCAGCAATGAATTTAGATGAAACCAGGAAAAACAAGATTAGAAGGAACAGATTAAACACTAAAAGTTTAAGGTAGAGAATATAGGAACTAAATAAGTGAACCTGAATTTAAGTGAATGATGAAAGGATATTCAATAAAAGCAGAAGGAGGAGAGAAAAGAGAAGGAAAAAAAGCCCAAGTGGGTAAAGATGAGGTAATTTGTTGCTTTAGATCTTTCAAAAAAGGATATGTGAGGAATGATGAATTTTAGGGTTTAAAACAAGGAAAGATTGAGGAATTGGTGTGGGTGGAAATAGGAGGAAGTTTTTAAATGAAAGAACTGGAAAAACTATAAGAAAATGAGGAAAACATTAGGGACAAACAAAATTGAAAGGAAAGATGATGAACTAAAAAATGTAGCAAAACATAAGGATTTGCAAAAAAAGAAGGAAAGATGGTGAATCAAAACCAGGTACAAAACATGATTAAATAAAAAAGACTAAGGAAAATTGAAAATTAAAAATGAAGCAAAAAACACAGAACTAAAAGATGAAGGAAAGAGAATTGAAACTAAAAAATGGAGCAAATCATATGAAACTAAATAATCAACTTTGAAATGCTGATTTTTAAGTTTTGATGACAAAAGGTATATAGGAACTAAAAGATGAAGGAAATTTGTTGCACTAAAAAAATGAAGCAAAACATGAGGAACTAAAAGATGAAGGGTATTTTGGAACGTAAAAATGAAGCAAAACATAAGGAAATTAAAAGACAAGGGAAATTTGTTGAAAAAAAAAAATTATGCAAAACATAAGGAAATGAATTTAGATGAAGGAAATAATGTTGAACTAAATTAAAAAAAAAACATAAATAAACTAAAAGATGTTTCAATGGGATGTTGAAAAAAAGTGAAGGTGAAAACATTTGGAATGTATTTGATGCAAAAGAAATGGAATGAAATGAAGCAAAACATAAGGAACTAAAAAGATGAAGGGAAAGATGTTGAACTAAAAAAATTGAGCAAAACATAAGGAACTAAAAAGATGAAGGGAAAGATGTTGAACTAAAATCTTGAAGTCAAAAAGAAAGGAACTAAAAAAGATGATGAAAGATGTTGAACAAAAATGAGCAATTTTATGAAAGAATCATTCCTGTTCAAATGTTGAACTAAAAAAATGAAAAAACATAAGGAACTAAAAGATGAAGGAAAGATGTGAACAAAAGTGATTGAAGAAAACATGAAATAAAAAAGATAATATTGTGATGTCTGGAAGGTTTCAGAAGCAAAACATAAGGAACTAAAAGATGAAGGGAAAGATGTTGAAACTAAAAACATTTCAAAAAAAACTCAAGGAACTAAATAGATGAAGGAAATATGTTAACTAAAAAATGAAGCAAAACATAACGAAAACTAAAAGATGAATAAAAAAGCAACTGATATATAAAAGAAGCAAAACACTTATGAGGAACTAAAAGTTGAAGGGAAAGATGAGGAACTAAAAAAGTGAAGCAAAACATGAGGAACTAAAAAGATGAAGGGAAAGATGTTCAACAAGAAAAATGAAGCAAAACATAAGGAACTAAAAAGATGAAGGGAAAGATGTTGAACTAAAAAAATGAAGCAAAACATAAGGAACTAAAAGATGAAGGGAAAGATGTTGAACTAAAAAAATGAAGCAAAACATAAGGAACTAAAAAGATGAAGGGAAAGATGAGGAACTAAACAAATGAAGCAAAACATAAGGAAATAAATGATGGAAGGAGGAAAAAATGTTGCAAACTAATGAAAAAATGAAACAAAATGGGAAGGAAAATTAAGGAAAAAAGATGAAGGGAAAATGTTGAATTAAAAACATGAAATGATGCAAAACATAATGAATGAAGGAAAGATGAAGAAAAAACAATCTGCAAAACTTGGGAACTAAAAAGATGAAGCAAAACCTGATGAACTAAAAAAATGAAAAAATTTAATAAAGGGAATGGACGATGGAACTAAAAAAACATGAAGCAAAATTAGGAAAAAAAAATCAAGGGAAAGAAAAAAAATGAAGCAAAAGATGTTGAACTGAAAAACATGAACTAAAAAAAAGGAATGAGGAACTAAAAAGATGAAGGGAAAGATGTTGAACTAAAAAATGAAACAAAACATAAGGAACTAAAAAGATGAAGGGAAAGATGTGGAACTAAAAAAATGAAGCAAAACATGAGGAACTAAAAAGATGAAGGGAAAGATGTTGAACTAAAAAATGAAGCAAAACATTAGGAACTAAAAAGATGAAGGGAAAGATGAGGAACTAAAAAAATGAAGCAAAACATAAGGAAATAAAAGGTGAAGGGAAAGATGTGGAACTCAAAAAATGAAGGAAATCATAAGGAACTAAAAAGATGGAGGGAAAGATGTTGAACTAGAAAAATGAAGCAAAACATAAGGAATTAAAAGATGAAGGGAAAGATGTGGAACTAAAAAAAATGAAGCAAAACATGAGGAACTAAAATGGATGAAGGGAAATATGACGAACTAAAAAAATGAAACAATAGATCAGGAACTAAAATGTTTGAAGGGAAAGGTGAGTAACTAAAAAAATGAAGGAAAACATAAGGAACTAAATTTGCTGAAAGGAAAGATGCGGAACTAAAAATAAAGCGAAACATAAGGAACTAAAATGGATGAAGGGAAAAATGAGGAACTCAAAAAAATGAAACAATAGATCAGGAACTAAAATGTTTGAAGGGAAAGGTGAGTAACTAAAAAAATGAAGGAAAACATAAGGAACTAAATTTGCTGAAAGGAAAGATGCGGAACTAAAAATAAAGCGAAACATAAGGTACTAAAAGGATGAAGGGAAAGATGCAGAACTAAATATATGAAGCAAAATATAAGGAACTAAATGATGATGTGAAATTTGAGGAACTAAAAAAATGACGCGAAACCTAAGGAACTAAAAAGATGAAGGGAAAGATGAGGAACTAAAAACATGAAGGAAAAACAAGAGAACTAAAATGGATGAAGGAAATATGAGGAACTAAAAAAAATGTAAAAAATTTGAAGAAATAAAAAGATGATGGTAAAGATGAGGAACTAAAACATGAAGCAGTACATAAAGAAGTAAAATGGATGAAGGTAAAAGATGAGGAACTAAAAAAAATGAAGCAAAACATAAGGAGCTAAAATGGATGAAAAAGAAAAATGAGGAAATGAAAAGGATGAAGAGAAAAATTGAAAAACTAAAAAAATGAAGTAAAACTTAAGGAACTAATATGGATGAAGGGAAAGATGACGAACTATAAAAATGAAGCAAAACATAAGAAACTAAAATGATGAAGGGAAAGATGAAGAAGTAAGAAAATAAAATGGATGAAGGGAAAGATGAGGAACTAAAACAATGAAGCAATACATGAGGAACTAAAAAGATGAAGGGAAAGATGTGGAACTAAAAAAATGAAGCAATACACAAGGATCTAAAATTGATGCAGGGAAATATGAGAAACTTAAAAAGTGGTGCAAAATATAAGGAACTAACATGGATGTAGCGAAATTTGAGGAAATAATAAGATGAATGGAAAGATGAGGAACTAAAACATGAAGCCAAACATAAGGATGTAAAGAGATGAAGGGAAAGATGAGGATCTAAAAAATGCAGCAAAACATAAGGCACTAAAATGGATAAAGGGAAAAATGAGGATCGAAAAAAATGGAAAACTGAAGGAACTGAAATGGATGAAGAGAAAGATGTGGAACTAAATGAATGATGAAATGCATGACGAACTAAAATGGATGAAAGGAAAGATGAGGGATCAAATGGATGAAGGGAAAAGTGAGGAACTAAAAAAGATGAAGCAAAACATAAGGAACTAAAATGAAGAATGAATTTGAGGAATGAGGAATAATATGAAGCAAAACAAAAGGAACTAAAAAGATGAAGGGAAAGATGAGGAACCAAAAAAATGCAGCAGAACATAAGGAACTAAAATTGATGAAGGGAAAAATGAGGAATCAATAGTATGAAGGGAAAAATGAGGAAGTAAAAAAGATAAAGGAAAACTTAAGGTACTAAAATGGATGAAGGGAAAAATGAGGAAGTAAAAAAGATAAAGGAAAACTTAAGGTACTAAAATGGATGAAGGGAAAAATGAGGAAGTAAAAAAAAGATAAACAAAAAAACTTAAGGTACTGGAAAATGGATGAAGGAAAAATGAGGAAGTAAAAAAGAGGGAAAAGGAAAAAACGAAGGTACTAAAATGGATGAAGGGAAAAATGAGAAAACAAAAAGAAAAAAGATAAAGGAAAATGAAGGGGAAAATGGGAATGATGAAGGAAAATGAGGAAAAAAAGATAAAGGAAAACTTAAGGTACTAAAATGAATGAAAGGAAAAAAATGAGGAAGTAAAAAAAGATAAAGAAAAACTTAAAATGAAGGGAAAGATGAGGAAAATGGATGAAGGGAAATATGAGGAAATAAAAAATGAAGCAATACATGAGGAACTAAAATGGATGAAGGCAAAGATGAGGAATCAAACGGAGGAAGTGAAAATTGAGGAACTAAAAAAAATGAAGCAAAACTTAAGGAACTGAAATGGATGAAGGAAAGATGACGAACTATAAAACTGAAGCAAAACATAAGAAACCGAAATGGATGAAGGGAAAGATGAGGAACTAATAAAATGAAGCAAAACATAAGGATCTAAAACGGACGAAGGAAAATGTGATGAACTAAATAAATGAAGCAAAACATAAGGAACTAAAATGGATGAAGTGAAAGATGAGGAACTAAAAAAATGAAGCAAACTTAACGAACTAATATATGAATGAAGGGAAAGATGACGAACTAAAAAAAATGAAGGAAAAAATAAAACTAAAATGGATGAATGGAAAGATGAGTAAGAAAACTCAAAAATGAAGCAAAACATAAGGAACTAAAAAGATGATGGTAAAGATGAGGAACTAAATACACGAAGCAGTACATAAAGAAGTAAAATGGATGAAGGTAAAGATGAGGAACCAAAAAAATGAAGCAAAACATAAGGAGCTAAAATGGATGAAGGGAAAAATGAGGAATGAAAAGGCTGAAGAGAAAATTGAAAAACTAAAAAAAATGAAGTAAAACTTAAGGAACTAATATGGATGAAGGGAAAGATGATGAACTATAAAAATGAAGCAAAACATAAGGAACTAAAATGGATGAAGGGAAAGATGAAGAAGTAAGAAAATAAAATGGATGAAGGGAAAGATGAGGAACTAAAAAAATGAAGCAAACTTAACGAACTAATATAGATGTAGTGAAAGATGACGAACTAAAAAAAATGAAGCGAAACAAAAGAAACTAAAATGGATGAATGGAAAGATGAGAAACTCAAAAATGAAGCAAAACATAAGGAACTCAAAAGATGAAGGGAAAGATGAACTAAATACACGAAGCAGTACATAAAGAAGTAAAATGGATGAAGGTAAAGATGAGGAACCAAAAAAATGAAGCAAAACATAAGGAGCAAAAACGGATGAAGGGAAAAATGAGGAATGAAAAGGCTGAAGAGAAAATTGAAAAACTAAAAAAAATGAAGTAAAACTTAAGGAACTAATATGGATGAAGGGAAAGATGACGAACTATAAAAATGAAGCAAAACATAAGGAACTAAAATGGATGAAGGGAAAGATGAAGAAGTAAGAAAATAAAATGGATGAAGGGAAAGATGAAGAAGTAAGAAAATGAAGCAAACCATAAGGAACTAAAAAGGATGAAGCGAAAGTTGAGGAACTAAAAAAGAGAAGCAAAACATAAGGAACTAAAATGGATGAAGGGAAATATGAGGAATCAAAATGATGTAGGGAAAAATGAGGAACTAAATAAAATGAAGGAAAATTTAAGGAACAAAAATGGATGAAGGGAAAGATGAGGAACTAAAAAAAATGAAGCAAAACATAAGAAACTAAATAGATGAAGTGAAAGATGAGGAAGTAAGAAAATGATGCAAAACATAAGGACCTAAAATGGATGAAGGGAAAGATGAGGAACTAAAAAAAAATGAAGCAATACGTAAGGAACTAAAATGGATGAAGGGAAAGATGAGGAATCAAAAGGATGAAGGGAAAAATGGGCAACTAGATGAAATGAAGCAGAACCTAAGGTACTAAAAACGAAGACGGAAAAAATAAGGAACTAAAATAATGACGTCAAACTTAATGCACTAAAAAGGATGAAGGGAAAGATGAGGTAATACAATGTTGTAAGTTAAAGATGAGCAAAAATGACGAAGCGGAATATGTAGAACTAAAATGGATGAAAGGTATGATGAATAAATAAAATTGTTGAAAGTAAAGATGAGCAAAAAGATGAAGGGAAAGATGAGGAACTAATATGGATGAAGGGAATGACGAGGAACTAAAAATGTGTAAGGGAAGATCATCAAATTTATAAAGGGGAAGATGAGTAACTAAAAAAGATGAAGGGAATGATGAGGAAATAAAATGGATGAAGGAAAAGATGAACAAAAAATTGGCTTGGAAAGATGAGGAACTAACATGATTAAGGAAAAAGTGGGGAACTAATATGCTGAAGGGAAAAATGAGGAAATAAGAAGGACGATGTGAATGATGAGGAACTAAAAAGTATGAAGACAAATTCAAGGGACTGAAAAGGATGAAATATGAGATGAAGAAAAATCAATGATAAAGGAAACGATGAGAATCTCAAAATGTTCAAGGAAAAGGAAACTAACTAAAAAGATGCAGAGAAAGACGAGGAAATCAAAATGATGAAGGTAAAGTCAACGAAATTAAAAAATGACCAAAGAAAAATGTAATGTAACACAGGAGTTCACGGTAAATATCTCAAAATAACAAATATAAATATGACCACATATTGCAGATGAAAGAAACTTAAAACTATAATGAACATCAATAAGTTGATAAAAATATAAAGAAGTTCAAGGCAAAAATAACTACAAATATCATGAATGAGATGATAACAAAATAAATTTAAAAAGAAGATAATATAAAAAAAGGCAGAGAATGAATCAAAATAGAGAAGATAAAGGAGATAAGAAAGTAAAGAATATGATGAAGATAGGAAAACAAGAAAGTCAAGAATATATCAAAAAACAAAATGTACTTTTTACGTAAAACGAAACGTAATAAAAGCAGAAAAAAAGAAGAGATTAAAATGATAATTGTTAAGGGCTGTTCTGAAAGAAAATAACAAATCTGAACAAAAAAGAAACAGGTTAAATACGGTTAAAAGTGTAAATTATGAAAAAATGGATATTAAAAAATTACATTAACATCCTGATGCCCGTATCCGAAGAATTGACCAAATAGTTCTGAGAGGCATAGAAAATTGGTGGATGGATGCGTTTCAAAAAAGCTTCCACGGCGCTCCCTCCTAGTACACCGACTCTGGCATCCAGTAGCTGTCAATGATAATATCTTTGTTAAATTCAGCCGTAAATATACACAATGTAATTCAAACAATTTTGCTGCAGTTGAATTGCTAAATTTATTTCCCATGACACGTTATTTTCATGTTATTTCTACAAGTACATCAGAAGAAAAATGAAACAAATCATAAAATATAGACGATATCATTACTTTGCTTGAATTTTATAGCGAATGATGTTAATTTAAAATTATCATATTTTGAGTAATTATTATAAAGGTTATTTTACGTTTCTGTTGTCCTTCCCTGTATACAAAATATGATCTATAGCAACATTTGTTGCAGCAAATGCCAAAAGAGAAATTTAACCAGAAACGATAAACTATTTCTTTTTACTTAAAAATTCTTTATTGCAAGAATAAAAATTTACTCAATATAATATCTATTTATAAAAGAAATTGAATAAGTGAAATTTCTCTTTTCGAAATTATTTTCCTACAATTGATTCATTGAATATTTATTATGATGTGTTACAGACATTATGCTCTTAGAGTAGAGTATAAACAGCCGTAACCGAGGCAGTCGTTTATAGTGATACAAGCTGCTATTTTGAATGAGACTAACACTGTTAAATTTAAAACTTGGTGCGTAAATAACTTTGCTTTATGCTCAGAACATTTAGATTCATTCACACAAATTTTCATGCTGCCTATATCTGTTTCATATCAATAAATAAACTATCGTTATAATAACTTAAACTTGAAAAACTCATGAGCACAAAATGAGATTAAATGGAATTAATAAACTGAAAATAAAAATGATTAAATTGTTACTTCTTAAATGTTTTTCCATTACTTTATTTATTGGCATGTAAATCTCTTCACGTTCGTAAAAGTAAGACGTTAAAAAGCTTTCGAAAATCTGTTTATAAAGAAAGGTCAAGAAACGAACAGAAGACAAAAGAACAGTTACTTAGAAAACTCACCCTGCTATCGTAGATACCATTGTATCCGACACCATTATTTTTTCCTGCAATAAAAGCGGCGAGATTGGCAGTATAACTTGCGATAATAAATATAGCTGCAAAAGCCCAAAAATTTTGCATTACTTTGCTGGGCCATGCTTTAGGAGACTTTGTACTGACTGTATGTCCAAACAGCACCGAATAGACCATGTTGAGGCCTGAAGCCATTGTATAGTTTGATTTCCGTTTTCTGCCCCAAGGGTTCAGACCGAAAGGACTGTTCCACTCGAAAAGGGCCATAGCAATCGCTGTCACAGTCGCGCTGATGAAGATCGCAAACCAGACCCCAATGGAAAATGGCTCGAGAAAAGCTTGCATATGTGGATCGCGTACGCGGTCCGCCACTAAGATGGAAAACCCAGAGAAAAAGTAGGGATCAGTAAAATCAATTGCCTTTACACGAGATCTGGTAATACTAAACGCGGCCATAGCGATGTGCGCGGTGCTTTCAAGGAGGTCCTCGATCATACCATTCCAGGAACCGTTGATGTAGGCGCCGTAGGATTTGTCAAAAACCAAGAACAGAGTGAAATCAAAATCAAGATCGTTGGATAGCTTGTTGAGTAAATCTATGGATAGTCCACGGCAACAACGGATTTCCCAAGGATTGCTCTGATTTAGAATGCCGGCTTCAAAATCGCGAATTGCTTCAATTGTTCGTACTTTGTCCTTTGAGGATAATTTCAAACAGGGAGTATCCGAAATACATTCGTTATAATCTGTGTGAGGTGCTTCTTCCATTACAAACGGTTTTACAGGGTTTGTTACAATTCTATAGCGTGTTCGTCCGTTCACGGATGAAGGCAAGAGATGGTCAATTGGCCATATTGGTTCACGAATCCTCACGTCACCGTTCCGTATGTATCCAATCTCTTTCCATGTGACTCGCTCACCATCATGCACCAAATTTTTTATTATGAAGTTAGACATTTGTAAATGACCTTCTGTGTCAAAATGCAGAGGTCCAAGGTAAGGGCTTACACTGGAAGTCTCCAAAATAGATCTGTAAAAAAAGAATTCAGTATTAGTTGCAAAATATTTCATTTTTCTTTTTATACGCAGTGGAAGGGAAACCGACAATAGATTCTTTACGTTATTTGCAAAATTACTTCATCCATTTTTTACTCTGTTTCTGCATATATGAAAACCTGAAAGTTTAAAAATCTATCGGATAATTTTTATTGAATTTGTTACGATTAACTGAAGTACAAACAAAAATTAAAGCCAATTACATTCAGTTGACAAGTAAATTGCTTCAGTTCCTAAGATAGCAGTTCTATATATTTATTATAATTCGTAACACACTGTATAATCTCCGGAGTTGATACGTGAATGGGTAAAGTAAAATTAGCAAGAGATCATGATGATCCTTAAAGATATCTTCATACACATAATAGCTAGTTAACATTGTTTGATTTGTTGTAAGTGTGTACTTGACTGCAATAAATTAAGATTGTAGTGTATAAAGCCAATGGGTAAAGACACGGTCTTCAGTGAGCGTGAATGTTTGTACATATAATATAAATTTAATAAAAGTTTTAATTTCATGTAAATATGATGATGGGAAGTCATCTATTAAACTTTTAGAAGAATTTCACATATAAACATTTTCGTATTTACTTCATAATTCAAATATACCTCTGTTCTCTCAATAAATCAATGTACTTAAGATGTGAACACGTTCGAGGTAGAAATTGATATTGGTTAAGGCTGATACTGTTGTTGAGGTCATTTTCCATAAAATAAGACCGTTGATTTGTACCAACAATTGACTTCTGTAGAGATACATAAGAATAGTACGACATTTTTAATGAACAAAAAGCAAACTTATCATAATTAAAAATATTTCCCACTTCTTTTCCTGTGAGCAGGAGAAATTAGGACTTTGTTTTGAACCTATATTAAATATAAATATACGTCTATTTTGTAATATATATATATATATATATATATATATATATATATATATATATATATATATATATATATATATATATATATACGATCCGCTTAAAATTATTAAAAGTTATAGTAAATGTATATATAAATTAAACAAAACAAAAATAAAAAAATAATTAATTTACATTCATTTTCGTATATATGTTTCCCAAATGTCTTGATTTTTTCAAGAAAATGTAATTTGGAAGAATTTGAAATTTGTTATTTACGTCAGGACAATCATTACTTTCATTGTCTAAAACAGTTTTGAATTTTTTTATTCGCAACTAGAATAAGAAAGAAAACTTATGACAAATAAAAGTTGCCACCATTGAATAATATACACTGTAAAATATTTTCTAGATTTCCATATATATAGTTTAGTACTTAGCTGCTTTTATATATCAGAGGGAAATACGAATGAATATATGCACAAATTGTCTTGATGATCTGTGTAAATTAATAATTCATTTTTAATTTTGTTACTTTTAACAATGAATAGCACTAATTGTACAAACATTGAAATTTATATGTTATTTTGAAGTTTTGGAAGGAAAGAAACGATACTATTCTATTCCAAAAGATTAGTTTCACTTCAAGAGACGCTATTTTTTCTATAATTTGTATGATAAAAATCAAAATTACTCCAATTAGTTAATAAAATAATGGTAACATTAGGCGTTTCCTTATGAGGAAATATTCGCCATTCATTAACCGACCAGCCAATGCTACTGTTGGTTGAAATTTAGTAAGTCTTTCTCTTAAAACAGTTTTTTTTCAGAAAAATAGGTTTCTGAATTCCACTAGAGGTTATCGCACTTACCAGTATTAATTGGTGTGTGTGTGTGTGTGTGTGTGTGTGTGTGTGTGTGTGTGTGTGTGTGTGTGTGTGTGTGTGTGAGGGGGTACTTCTAAACATTTTGTTTGAAATAGTGTGGAACGCCAGCATCTTGATTATTTTCTCTTTGAGTAACATGTGATATCCATTTTAGCTGTTGTTGGAAATGTTTAAGTGATGTAATTTCGGTTATTTGATACAGTTCTTCATGATTGTGTAGCGCCAGTCCGCGAAATTTGAAGAAGGATGGTCCTTGCTAAAACCTACTGGGCCTCATTGCTCAAAAGCTATTTTTAATCATTGATCTGAGAAAGATGGTTTTAGGCAACTGACAGTTTAGATATTTCTGAATGGATTTCATGCCATGTCATGACATCCATATGGAAGTCTCAATCTGACAAGGCTATTTAAGAAAATGACTCGAGTTCTTAGGTTAATGTTTTGCTTTGTAGTAGTTTGGGATGTTGGGATGAAACTAACCCTGGCGCAGCCTAGTTTATGTTCAATTTCCTTATGTCTTATATTTATATTTTGTAACTGATACATACACTGAAATATTTGTAATGTTTAGTATTTACTAATTCCACTTCCTGATTTTTTATGATGGATTCAGAGTATATGCCATTAATGATTTCAATCTAATTAAAGATAATAGATTCTGTTTTGGAAAGGTTTAGCAGAGGATGTTGATTTTTTATTTAAAATCATTGATTATCCCAACTTATATAAATCAAATATTTAAGTGTATCCTTCTTCATCTTAGGCGAAAATTTGAATCTGGTCAAACTATATCACCTAAACTAGTTTTTCTGATTAACAGGAATTTACAAGGGACTTTTTGGATCAGAATGGATCAAATGATCAGTGTCCACATCCAAAATAGTGCAGGTTCTTATCACACGTCAGAGTCAAGTCCAAAATACAAGAGCAGCTGGTAAAACATTTAGATCTTATATTTTAACACTGTGGCACAGAGAGAGTAAAATCAATTTCAGTATTGGGGTCCTCACCAGATTAATTTGGACTTCCATACAGGATTCCAAAACATAGATCTTAGGAACTCTATTGAGTTTGGAAAACAGTCTTTTTAATGGATGAAATCGCAAAGATCCGGAGAACTGAAATATGCATCCAGAACATATAAACATCGATACAGTAGGTATATAGTTTTCTATTGGAAGAATGAAAGTCGCTTGAGAGTTGTTCCATTTGAACAAAAACAAGGAATGCCATCATTACCTCTTACCAGAGGATGAAAACCATTAAAGGTTGTGCAGGTTTTCGATCCGTTAATATAAATTTTGTGCAAGCTGGGTAGATTTTAAAACACTGAATTTGATATTCTTCCCATTGAAAAAAGAAAGCTCTACCTTTATACATGCAAGGGTTTTATTGGGAAGTACTTTTCATTTCCATAGTGCATTGAGTCATGATAAGCCCCACTTTGGAACTTGTGATATTGTTCTAACAATTTTAACTTCCTTCTAAAATTTTCAAACTGTTCAATTAAAAATCAACTGTGAAGCTATTATTTTCAAATATTAAAACCCAATGTCTAGTGTTGATTATTATTCCTTATTTTTGTAAAATGCATGGCTTAAGTGTTCCTATAATCCATTAATAAATTGTTGTTTATTTTGGAAATATTTTTTGTACAGAACCTGCCTGTCGATGAAAGATAGTTTCTGAACATAAAGGAAAATAATGGGAAATCTTATCTGAAGCCTCTCCTTTTATTTGGCCAATTTAAAGCCATGAATTTAGAGTGCTTGTGAATTCATCCGATGTGTAACAACAAAAATTCAGAAATATTTTATACCCAAAAAAATATTTAACGAAAAAGATGGAAAGAAAATTACTTTTGTACCTAATCGAATTAGTAAATGGATATACTAGGTGACTCATGATTAGAGGACTTTTTTTTTTTCAAGATTCTTCAAGTTTTATGATTTCAATACTGTGTGAAGGAATGGTATAATAGTGTATTATAGAAATAAATGCATTTTATTAAAGTAAGAATCCATATAAAATAGATTTTTAAAAATTATTTTAAACTTTAACATTCTTCTTTTCATATTTAATTCAAGAACAATAAAAAAACATTTTGTATAAATAATTGTGCAAGATATTTTATTTCTCTCACTGTTTAACATTGGAAAGTTTATAGGATGAACCAAAATGGATGAGAAAAAATGGTTAACTTTGAATTTCAAAATGACAAAGTTCATAGCGGCATTAAAAATAAACCACTGGTAGTTTCCTTATGTAAACAGCATATACCCCCGCATTGATAGTGTCCAAAGTATTTATGGGAGGAAAAGCATTTTGATATATAGATGAATTGAGTGTTAATAGATATTTTATTTATATGTTCGATTACACACACTAACACAAACTTAATATTTAAATAGAATATTTATATATATATAATTTTTGTGTGTTTGAAGAATTTGTAGGTTAATTTAATAAATAATTATTAGGTATAATTTTTTTTAACGGCCGTTGTGTTCCTCCAGAGATCTAGTTAAATATAAGTATTTTAAAATCAAAGAGATCTTTTTAAATAGAATATGATACATTTTAAGGAGAAAGAGATATATTTAAAACAAAGAAAAACCGCGAATATCTCCGAAAAGGTAAATGATTCATTCTATTGTTCTAAAATTTGGATGACATATTCTCTCCAGCTGAT